CCATCGTCCGCAACAACGTTAGAGGAGCCCTTCAGGTATTCAATGCTGACGTCATAACTCTGAAGCTCCACGACCCATCGAGTCAGGTTGTCGTGGGTCTTGTTGTGCGTCAGCAGAAACGTAAGTGGACGATGGTCTGAGAACACGGTGTGTGGTTCCCGTAGATGGTCGTGCGAAAGAATCGCAAGGCACTAATAATGGCAAACAACTCTATATGCGTAGGACTCCATTTCTGCTGAGAATCAGACAACGACTTGCTGAAGTATCCAACGGCGACAAGCTGACGATCATCGTCGGAATTGTTCTGGAATAACGCGGCACCCACCGCCTGCTGACTCCGTCAGTGTGAAGGAAAAACTCCTTGTCTTGAGGAAACGCCAGACACGGCTTAGAGAGTAAAAGGCGCTTGAGATGCTGGAAGGTTTCCTCTTGTTCTGTGCCCCAAATGAACTTAGCTTCATCTTTCAACAAAGCATATAACGGCGAAGCTATTAAAGCGAAGTTAGCTACAAATTTCCGAAAGAAATTGGCCATACCGACAAATCCTTTGACAGCCTTAGTCGTCGTAGGGGCAGGGAAGTCCTGTATGGCACGTATATTCCTATTGGCAGGAGAGTAGAAGCTACCAGAGATCTCGTGACCTAAAAAGTTTATGTGTGAGCGTGCGATCTCCGTGAGCTTTTTACCAGACGCCTTGATATTATGGAGGCGAAACCTGTAGAAAACCTTTCTCAGAGACTCCAGATGACTGGGGAAATCCCTGTCGAAGATGACAATGTCATCCAGATAAGCCAAGCAATTAGCTTCCAGGCCGGCTAGGATGCGCGACATAGCTCTAGAAAAATAGGCACCTGCATTTTTGAGTCCGAAGGGAAGGTACACAAATTGGTAAATGCCGCGATGTGTAGCCCAGCCACACTTTTCCTGACTCTTCTGGCGAGAGAAGGAGCTGCATATATCCAGACGCCAGGTCGAGGGTGGTATAAAACTTGTGACCTGAAATCTTGGCAAGGATATCCTCAATTCGAGGTAACGGATAATGGTCTGGGATAGTGACCTCGTTGAGCGGGCGAAAATCCAGACATACCCGTAGCGACCCGTCCTTCTTTTTAACAAGCACGTGTTATGGACCCACGGGGTGTCACTCTCTACAATACGTCCTGCGCGCAGCAACTTGTTAATGTGGTCGTCTAGCTAGCGGTCCAAGATCGCTACTCGTAGACTGGCTATATAGTAGTAGAGATTTTGGCAGATGCACCAATGTGGTGGCGGTTCGGTGGCGTTTGTAGATTGCGGACGAGGCGAATAGTCCACCCCCCCTTAACCTTGGTTATAACCCTTTACCTTGGTTATAGACACAAGTATGAGGCTACGCCCACGCCTCGAAGGGTCGTGCTGGGCGTAGAAGGAGAGGGTCATCGCCATAGTGGCGATGACACTGTGAGTCGACGATGAGGGATGGGATCGTCGTCTAAACGACGATAACAGTGGCTCATACTCAGTAACTGTTTTGTGGGTGCTATGAGACATGGGGTTGGAATAACCTTTTTTGCCGAACGACTCGGTGGTTTAGTGGATATGTGTGGAGAGAAG